TAAATATGGCAACAGATCAGGAATCCTGATGTAGGGATTTCACGACAAACTCAATGTCTGGGTGGTGAAAAGAAAAATTGGTGAGTCGGAATACTATAAAGACAAACCTGACTTTTGTTCTTGGACAAAAGTCGACCTTACTGAACTCTCCAAAGCTCCATTTCATAATCCGTCTCACGACCCTCAAGCTACTGACTTTCAACTGTTCTTGGAAAATCAAGTCAAGAGGAATTTTGACAAAATGAAGACTGTAGAATCCTTTATAAGGAGAAACAAAGACGTGATTGATCCCAATACCAACGAGCCGATGAAGATTGCGATGTGGCCTCCCATGAGGAAACTAAAAGAGATTCTTATTGTCCAACAATTTCGAGATGGATCACTGGAAAATATGGAATTCTGGGTGTTCGATGATGCTACAGCCACTACCGTGATCAAATTTCCAACTGGTTCTCATCGCCTTATTACAGCAAAATATCTTCTAAAGTTCAGCGAACGGGACAGACACACTTTGTCTTGACATCAAATTGTCTGCAAGACGGAGCTTATGGAGCCGAACGCCAAAGAATTTACAAGCATGATCGCCACAATAATTGAAAAGAAAATGTGGCTTGGGGCTATGGGAAATTCTGATGTGATTCTGATCGAGAAGGACTGAAGTTATGCTAGGTCATAATTTGTTGGTTTGGGCTAGGCATCTATATGTATATGTCTGTTAGGGTGTTGGGTCATGTATTTGGTATTTGCGGCTGGTGTTCACAGTTGTAAGGTGTCCATGGCCGTGAACCCGTTTGCGGTTGGTTGTGTCCTATAAATAGTGTCAGATTGTTTCAGAGTTACTATTGGCTGTCAGAAGTGTGTGTGTGTTCTCCAAGTGTACTCGACATTCACGGTTAATAGAACATGTGTATTGTTGGAAATCTATTTTCTTCTTATCCTTCTAATCTTTATTGTTTATAGCATCTTGTTTGTGTTTTGATCACTGGTTAGGTCTCGTTTGTGGGACTTACAAAAATTCCATTGGTTGAGAAAAGAATGGATTGAATGGAAACATTTTCGAAGTAATTGTAGGAAAGTAATAGCTAGTAGGAGAGTGAATTCGTTGATCAAATGATGGTTGATAACATGGTTGTGATGGAAGGTTTGTCGATTTAGTGTTTGGAGGTGGAAGGTTTAGTGATGAAAGGTTTGAAGGTTTCTGATTGATGGTTCTTAGAGGTTTTCTTTGTTTGAACTGAAGACAATTTTCCTTGGTGAATTGAGAGAGTTTGTGAGAGATATATGATATTTTGTATGTGTAAATTGTTGAAAGTGTAGGATGAATATTTATAGTAGTTGAATGGTAGTTGAATATTTTTTTTATTATTAAAATTGTCTTTTTAATCAAAGTTGGTAATAAGTTGTTGAAATTAAATTCAACAATTGAATTTGGTCAAACGGCAACCGATCTGGTCAAACATACTCCAACCAATCAAATTTGTGTATAGCCTTCTCTCTCTTCTCGCCAAAAGTATGGCGTGTCTCCGGTAACGACCCCCTAGCGAGAGCTAGGGGCGGTGTTCTAGTGAGTATAGCAAGGTTGACGAGTTCGATAGCGAGTGTCATTCCGCTTAAGCTAAAAGGAACTATTAATAAATATGTGTCAAATATGTCCAATATATGGTTTGAATTCTTAAAAAATACACGTAAAACATGTTCTATGTGTGATCTCATCATTACAACTAAATAATTATTTTTGTTGTATTTAAAGATATATTTAATTAATTGATTAATAGTTATATTATCAAGGAGGTCTTCATATAATTTCAGGTATATATTAAATCCCCGTTATAAAATACTTTTTGTATTATGATATACAAATATATTTATATGTTACACTGTAAATTTTTAAACAAAATTTTCATTTAAAAAAAAAAACAATAAAACGCATATTACATTTTCTCAAAAACCACAAGTGTCTCAAAAGTCAATAAATACAAGTAAAAATCACTATCCCAGAATCATAAAAATAATCTCGCTCCAGTGTGTACTATCAAGTCGGTGCCTTCTTGCGGTCATGAGAAGTACTTGAAACACATATAACACAACACGTTAAACATAAAGCTTAGTGAGTTCCCAAAATACCACATACACAAATAATAAGCCTCCCATGACTATAACTTGGTGTGGACCCTCCGATCATATATCTCAGTGAGGACCCTACGGTCTCACAGCTCGGGTTGGACCCTCTGGTCCTATATCTTAGTGAGGACCCTCTATTCTCACAACTCGGTTTGGACCCTTCGATCCAATCTCAGAAAAATACAAAATAATATAGCATATATCACAAAGACAGAATAACACAATATCACATAACTTAATATAAGCACATAGGACCCTCCAATCAATATCTCAGATAAGGCCCTTCGGCGCCTCGGTATTACCACTCAAGTAAGTATAGTGAGAAGACTTACCTCGTAAGCAAACAGTAATAATCTCGTACACGAAACTCGAACTAGCCTCCGCCTAATCACATAAGATAATTATTTCTAAGTAATAGCGGCTCTCAAGAAGCTAGAGTAATCCTTATACAAACTCACAGAAGGATAAAATACCATTTTATCCTTCCACAGCCTTAATAGTCCACAAATCGACCAAACCCTAAAAGTCAACGGCAGCGCGTACGTTGCGCGTATCTGACCTTTACGCTGGGCGTACTCATTTTCCCTACATGCATTGGGGGTTCTCAACCATACGTTGTGCGTACTGGATTTATGCTCATCGTACGCCCTATATTTGCATTTCTTACTTGTTTGGTCTTAATCCGTTAAGACCTTAGCTCAAAACTCAGATCTGGACTTCCTAGAGGCTCATACTCCATAAAGTCTGTGACTTTAAGCCTTTGCATGGTTGATAAAGTCACAAACACCCAAAACTCTCACTCTCTATTCTCAAGGATGCTCATAACTCATACATGGGTTGATTTAAATGTCCAAGTCTCGGTTTTTATGGCTCTACACTATTCAAAACACTAAATGGAGTTGATAATAAGCTCTGGAACTCAATATCTCATAAAGCTTCTAACTTTGGAACCAAAACCCTAAAATGGACTAAAATGATGCACAAAACAAAATAGTGAGAAAGCTTTAAGCTTTATACCTCTAATTGAATCTCCAACCACAGATAAGCTCAGATCCAAAGCTTGGACTCCTACTCCTTCCTCTTCAAAGCTCCTTCTTCACTCCAAACAAACACAAGAATACTAAGTAGCTCAATAATGGACAAACAAGTTCAAGGGACGAATATTAGGGTTTGAGAGTGTTGGTGTCTTGGAATGGTGGCTAGAAATGAGGTCATCATGTCCTTTAAATAGGGTCACACCCTAAATTAGGGTTTTCACTCTGGGCCTAGTACGCCCAACATATTAGGTTCGCTTCCGCATCAGAAACACGCTCATGAGTACACTAAGCGTATACTCATGTACGTCCCGCGTACTCACCTACTCATTTACCACCCTTTTCTCATATAAGGACCAAACTTGACAATTACCAATAGAACAAGAGTTTATAGAGTATACGTGGTCTTGGGATGCAACATTATAGTTATAAAATCATTTAATTTATATTTTAACATATTCTAATTAACTTCTATATTGTATACTTGAAATAACAAAAATATAATAATATAAACTTCTATACTTTAAAATGTTTTATGCTAGTTAATTGGAAAGATAAACAATTAAACACGTACTGACGTATACACTAATCGACTTTTACATTATACAAACTATTAATTAAAAATAGTTATATTTAATTTAAGATATTACTGAAAAAATATTAATTATAATTATAACTAACTAATATACTTATCAACTATAATAAATAAAGATCCATTTTGCCACATGTCAATCTCTCATTAGTTTTGACACTTGTTATTTTGTAATAATTTTGAAATAAATAATATCCACATGTCGATTCTTAGGTTTTTTAAAATTTAAAATTAAAAAACCACATTATATTTATATATGTAAAGTATTAAATGTCATAAATATAATATTAAATTGCAATTAATACATTTTTTATTTCTTATTTTAAAATTTTATTTTAAAAAATATTTATTGTTTACACATTTTAATATGGGAGAATTTCATATATGCCCTTCTTAAACATCAAAATATCATATTTATCCAACTTAATTTTTTAATATCATATTTACCCTTCATAAAATTTCTAAATATCATATTTACCCTTCATAAAATTTCAAAATATCATATATGTCCTTTTTAAACATCAAAATGTCATATATGCCATTCTTAAATATCAAAATATCTTGTATGCACTTTTTAAACATCAAAACATTAATGATAATATCTAATATCTACAACATGATAATAATCAACAACAATAAAAACTAAAAAATCCAAACATCCATTCCATAGAAAGGGTTGAAGATGAATTTTTTTGTCTATCAAGAGGCCGACATTCCAATAATTTAGAAGTTCACATTCAATTATCATAGACGTAAGGATAATATTGTTAAATTTCTTAATTATTATAATAATTCTAAGGTATAAAAAATAATTATAAAATATTAAAAACATTATAAAAAAAGATTTGGGCAAATACGATATTTTGAAGGTTTATGAAGGGTAAATATGATATTAAGAAATTAAACTAGGCAAATATGATATTTTGAAGTTTAAGAGGGGTATATATGAAATTCTCCCTTTTAATATTACTTTTTTTTTAATCAACTCGTGTAATACACGGTTTTACACCTAATTAAAAATGTATTAAGTAAAAGTTAGTCATGTTTGCCGGGACATTTTATATTCTTGTTTATGGCCAAGTGCTTTTCCGTATCATTTGCCAATAATATTTTAATGACAAGAAATAAAATATAACTATATAGAAATAAAGTAGGATTAAAATTGATTTTGTCATTAAAGATTTAAATGTGACTATATATATCTATATACATCTATACATATTTGCATGTATAGCTCCATTTTATTCACAACAATGGCTTCTGAATATCAATCATCCAATGCTTCGGATCCTTACAAGCACATCAATGTCACCCTAAACCCGGATGGCACTTTGACCCGACACATCTCCTTTCCATCCTCACCGGCCGAACCCCAACTCACCACCGATTCCCAACTCACACTCTCTAAAGACATCCCACTCAACCCCACCACCGCCACCTTCCTCCGCCTCTACCGCCCCGTCTCTCCACCCACCCAAAAACTCCCTATCATCATCTACTTCCATCCCGGCGGCTTCGTAGTCGTTAGCGCCACCGCTGGTCCCATGCACCTTATCTGCTCCGAAATATCCGCTCAGACTCCTGCGCTCGTTATAAACGTCGAATACCGTCTAGGCCCCGAACACCGTCTCCCGGCGGCGTATGACGACGGGGTTGACACAATCCGGTGGGTGCGTGACCAGGCTTTAGGAACCGGACTCGACGGTCCCGAGGAGTGGTTGACCGAATTCGCTGACTTTTCTAGAGTCTACCTAATGGGTTCTAGTGCCGGAGGAAATCTAATCTACAACGCGGGTTTACGTGTACTTGATCTAGATCTTGATCCAGTTACGATCGTGGGGCTTATCATCGACCAAGCTTTTTTTGGTGGGATCGAGCGCACTGAAGCAGAACTTCGACTAGTAAATGACCATATTCTCCCTTTAACCGCATCGGATCTTTTATGGTCTTTGGCGTTGCCTTTAGGAGCTGATAGAGATCACGAATACTGTAACCCTTTGGCAGATCGACACGTGAAGATCGGACGGCTTCCGAACAGTTTGATCAGGGTGAATGGTGAGGATCCAATGGCTGACAGACAAAAAGCTTTTGCTAATATGTTGGAATCACATGGTGTGCACGTGACAAGAAAGTTTTATGATGAAGGAAACCATTGTGTCGAGATGTTTGATCCAAAAAAGGCACAAATCTTCTATAATGATGTCAAGAATTTCGTTTGCGCGCAGTTAACTTAGAAAGTCAGAATGAATTATTAGTATTACATTATATTATTATATTATATTATATTATGCTGTAGGCTCAACGACTTCAATTGCTTTTGTATTTAACTACGTTATGGGGATAAAATAATGATCTAAAAGTTATTATTTTTCATTTGCACAATTTATATGATTTTTCTCTGATGTGGATGTCATTAAAATATTGACGTTAAATACGTGTAACAGACTGTTGATTTCTTTTATAAACCAAGACATAATACTTGTATTTAACTGCAAAATGCAATCATTAAACAATTCTAAACTCACTAAATCAAGTAAAATATAGAAGAAAAAAAAATGGTCTGGAAGAGTAAAGAAGTAGTCCCAAAATAGTTTTATTTTTTTGGGTCCCACATGTGTCAGACTCGAAAGCTCAATGTCCTAAAAATTCCACATTTGGGTCGAACATGATTTCACATTTGACCATAAGGAGGTGGATATGCTTGACGGTTATCTGTCCAACATGATCATCAATCTCACCAAAACGAGTAAATGAGTAAATGACTCATCACTTGTGACTCACTTGGAAGTTGCTAGGGATTGGGGACGAGAGGTTCGGACTATTGAGAGAAAGAATGGTGAAGGTGTGAGTTTTCAGAGTGGTTTACGTTTCTATTTATAGGTTGAGTTCGGTGCGAACGTAGCGCATTCCCTAGACGAACGTAATGCGTTCGCGAACAGGACGCGTTCCCTAGAGGAACGCAACGCGTTCGTTGCCATCTCGTTCCAAGCTGTGGGGAAGAAGGTGTGGCCCAGATTACGCCATGTGTCACTCACAGATTACCTCAAAAACTAATTATCTTCTAAAATCGTAAATTTCGCATACGAGCTCCGTTTTTTACGTTTTTTATATTAATGTATAGACATAAACATGATCTACAACTTTCGCTTAGATTCCGTTGGCTAATTTTGAATTTATTTTTAAAGTTATATTTTTAACAGGCCGGGACATGAAAAATCTGTTAAAAATTCATAACTTCTTCTTAGAAAAATAATAACTTCCTCATACGAAGTCAGATTTAGGCATTCTTTTTATGCACACTCTCGGTTTAACGTATACTACAACTTTAGTTTAGATCACTAAGGCCAAAAAGTCATCTATCGTAAATTCACTATTTACGTTTCCCGGTTCCGTGCCGGTTTTGCCGTAAAACTTTGACGGACCATAGCTTCTTCATTATAACTCGGATTTCGGCGTTCTTTATACGTACAAAACCCTTGTAACATATACTATAACTTAGTTAAGATGAATCCTTCTAAATATTTTTCCATCAAAAACTCATTTTTGATGCTTAGTGTCTACAAATTGACTAGCCCGAAACTACGGGCTTTACAATTATCCACCCCTTAGGATGATTACGTCCCAGAATCATCAACGAAACAGGGTTGTATAATGATTCCATATGTTATATCTTCATCCTAGGTAATAACCGTAACTTATATGTTTGTTCGAACGAGTATCAAACTGTTGGACTTCTTGACTGCAGGCGGCGCTCGATCTTGCACCCGCTCTCTATCCCATGTTAGACTCCAGATTATAGTTGGAGTAGGTGTCTAAGACCATAACTATTTTGGTATGTACTTGACCCGATTGTGAGCACGGTCCTTTTGGGTTGCCTTCACCATAGCAACTGATAGGATGAATTAAGGAGAAAGAGAATTAATTATGATTTATTAATATATTATAAAAATAATATATTAAAGGAGAAATCATATTGTTTAATTAATATTAGTCAAGAATTAATTAATAATTAGTTTTGTGACTAAAAAAGATTAATTAAAGAAAGGGGACTGATTGTGTAATTATAAGATAGTTGCATAAATGGGCTAATGCACTACATAAAAGTTGGAGTGGATGAAATCTTTGGGGAAACTCATTAGAATTCGTCCAAGGCCTCTAAGTAGGGAGTCCATGGGCTGCTTAGGGCTTAAGCATTCATATTAGGGTTTCCAACTAAAACCCTAGAAGCCTAAGTATAAAAGGAACCCTTTGGCCTGCAAAAATGTGTCCAACCTTTTGAAGGGAACCCTAGAACATTTTTGGTGCCTCCTCCGTCTCTCCTTAGTCATCTTGTTGCTCATGGTGTTTGAGACTCCATTAAAGGTGCAACGTTTGAGGAACTAAGCTTTCAGAAGTCAATTACAAGAAGGATTTGGATTGTTATTGCTACATAACAATCAAGGTAAGATCTAAACCCTATTCTTATGTTAATATCGATTATATCCTTTGCCCCTTTATGGAGTTTTGGGGTCAATAAGCTTGATCCTTAAGACTTGGACGTCCCAAGTCGATTCACCTTCAGATCTAGACTCTAGAACCAAGTTCATGGCATAAACTTTATGGTCATATTAGCCCATGCATCCCTTTAGACCTTATTTTGGGTCCTTAAAGCTTATACTTCCATGCATGTACGTAAAGTTCATAACCTTACGTGCTAGATCGATATTAGAAGCCCAGATTTACCTTTTGGATGAGAGTTGTAGGCCAGCAATCGAGTTATAGACTTGGACAATAGGCGACTCGACGAGTTGTTCTTGGAACTCGGCGAGTCCGGGGATTCAGTCCCCAATATGTTGTGGTTCAAAGGGACCCAACTGAGTGATAGCAAGATTTTAGATGAGTCCAGAGGAGTGATTCGACATATTGAGATATAGCCTCAATCTGGAAACCATGGGACCCGATGAGTGTTAGAACACACTCGGTGAGTCCAAGGCAATCTCCTTACCCACAAGAACAGACTCGACGAGTTGTTCATACAACTCGGCGAGTCATAGTTTGGACGTGTTCGTATGATGAAGATCAACTCGACGAGTTGTTCATACAACTCGGCGAGTCGCATGAAGATTGACTTGAGTAATTATAGAAGGACAACTCGTCGAGTCTTTGCTAAGCTCGACGAGTAGAGTCGGGTAAGGGGGCATAAGAAAGGATAACAAGATAGAAACTTTATACCTTCTGAGACTTGCAAATGAGTTATAGAACTTGGATCCAAAAGCTCTTCCTTGATCAATGAGGCTCCAAGATGATCACCCTATTCAAGAACACTAAGATGCACTCCAAGATGGCCTTACAAGCTCACACTCTCACCATTATGGCTAGGGTTTCGAGAAGGGGGGGGGGGGGTTTAAGGGTGAGAAGGAGGTTGACCCTTGAGGGTGTAATGTTCTTTATATAGTTTCACACCCTAAAAATTAGGGCTTAGTTACTCTGGGCGTACTCCTCATACGTTGGGCGTACGTCTCCAACACCCGCGACCATTTACTCCATCTACGCTGGGCCTACCACAACTTACGTTGGTCGTACTCTTGTGCTGGCCACCTCGCATGCATGGGATCTTCTTGTCACTAATTTCCATTAGGGGCTAAAATTGAAAATAACTTCAAAGTTCCATAACTTCTTCATTCTAAGTCCATTTCCGACGAACTTTATATCCACGAAAAGGTGGCGGGAAGCCCTATGCTCCTATCCGCACCCCAAGTATAAAGCCTTCCAGATAAAACCCGGGACCCATAAAAGATCGAATCACCCCAACCCTTTAGCTTCCGAGACCCCAACCGAGTACTTTCCAAAACAGGGTGTTATAACTCTCCCCCACTTAAACTAGACTTCATCCTCGAAGTCATGCATCACCATCCCCGACACACCAGACTACCTGAGCAACACGACCACAGATGACCCCAGTCTTCCTAAAGTAATCAAAACCAACCCTCGTAGGGTTCTAGAACCCTAAGATGAATGAATTCCTTGCAATCTGATTACATCCGTTCCATCTGAAACCTAAAGTCTCGAGATATTCTGTCTCCCTGACAGACTACCTACATCAAACTGATTCCACAAAAGACCAGCCTAGATTGAATACTTCCACTCGTAATACCTTGAGGCTTCTTAAAGAACAACAGTCACCGATTAGCTGCAACTACTGAATAACCCGCAATTCCACACGCAAACCCCAAATCATTGAAGTCGCTCCTACTCCTATTGTTGCCACATAAATGCTTTCCTGAAGAACGACAGAGACCTTCCTGATCCCAACTTGCCTTCCAACTATCCGGAACACCGGACACCTTCCCGATTGCTGAGCCAGAGATATACACTCAACAGTCCCACATGACATCCGAAGGACACATCGTCTGACAATAACTTCCCTGACAAGACCTCTTCTCTCGACTCCTTCAATCCTTGATCCATCCGACCATAACAGGCTGACAACTCGTCGCCACTGAATCCGTCGCAAAGATGAATGCTATTAGAACAACTATATTCTTACATCATGCCGAACTCCTTTGACCTGTCTTTTCCTGGTTCCAACATGTCGTGGTCCCATTATTGATAGAACCAACTCGAGACACATCGTGATGGCTTGATCTACCATCGAACCAAACCCATTCATTACCCTGGTATGCTGCGTTTGATGCCCTAGGAATCCTTATGCTCCCGAATCCCATCTCACATAATCAAAATCCTGTACCGAATCTGTGTGAACCCCGATTCAGAGTTCTTTCTGAAACGGTAAATACCCCCGTCACTACCTCGAGATCCATTATGCACCATAACATCCGATTACCCTTACCTGACCGGTCAATAAATACCCTTAGCCGAACCTCGAGATTTCCAGTCTCGCACCCGGTCCAACGTACCGCTTATCCAAAAGATCTTGCAACTCAAGGTCCAAACCCTTGCCTCAAAATTATGTACCAATTCCATTCCGAATTCCCATAACCATCCAGGCTCGCCCACAGATATCCGATCGAATAATCATCATCAACCCTGATTACACCTAAGATGTGGATTCACCATGACCTTGCAAACTGGTCTAAGTCATCTGAATGAATCCGTGAATGCTACAGCTACACCTGTAGACTTACGACATTCCCCATAATATCTAGCCACTTGTGAATGCTACGGAACCCCAGTAGTCTTAGAACACTTCTCGCACACACGCGATCATTGTCCATAACCCTATTGCTCATCTATC